GACAAAGTCGGATACGGTATTTAATATAACGGTAAAAAATTAAGTAATATTCGAAACTGAATAAAATGGTAACTAATAAAGTAATATTTGAAAATGGTAATAATTAACGTATATTAATATTATCGAAATTAACAGCAAACAGAGATATCTGCTTAATCGTTTCGTCTGCATCCTAATCGGTGCAGGCAATAGCATGATAATGTCAGACAAGTTCACCATTGCAATATCTGGAACAACTGGAAAACTAAACCCACTTTGTCTCGTTTTTGTAGAAAAGAGACTTTTTAATCTTCTGCTGCATCTTTATTTGTAGATATTTGGGCTACATAATGCACTTGATTGGGAAACCGAACAACAACATAATCATTTACAGCAGGTTCTCTGTCTAATTGTTCAATTTCTGAAAACGATTTAGAGTCATCTGAATCATTTAAAAGCACCTGATCCATATTTTGAAGAAAAAACATCACAAACTCTTAAACAACTGTATGTGCCTTACCTCAGAATCTGATTCTTCGTTTGACGATTCGAATCTTTCCTTACTTTTGGTATTTATTCTTAGTTGCTTGTTGTTCATTGAAAACAAGTCCTTGGTTACCTTTTGTTTTTTTCGTTCAATTTCCTTTTGTTTTTTTAATTCTCTTTGTAACGACAACTCAGCAATAAGTGTTTTTTCAGGTGTATCTGTCATAATGGCACTTTTTCCTCGTTTACGACCTTGTTTTCTCGGTAATGCCTTAGGATACCCTCTGAATGCTTTAGGAGAAACGAAAATATTTTCTTCTTGTGACATATTTGCAACAGTTTCTTTAGATGTGGTAGGAACATTAGTGGAAATGGGTTCTTCGGATATTGAAGCTATTTCTGGAACATCTAAATGTGCAGAAGGACGCAATACATCTGCATGAAATAAAGGTGATTGAGGACGATCTGTAACGGAGGAAGTTAAAAAGTCTGAATCCGTAAAAACGTCTCTGTTAAGCGGGAAAATACCCGACTTTTTAAATCCTGCAATGATGTTGGATGGAGTAACTGCCTTTGGTAGTGCTTTACCGAAACATTCAGCTACTTGATAAATTGTTAGAGGAATGCCAGGATGGGCAAGAAGCCAGTTATCGACAGCTTCATTATAATACGCTTTTAGAGGTGCGTAAATAGATACATCTAACGGTTGGGTCTTATGACTAGTGTGGGGAGGTATAGTCAGAAGTGTTACTCCAGTCTTCCTGGCTATATTTAACGCTATTATGCTTATGTGCGATTCATGGTTATCGCATATAACTAAGGTTGAATTTTCTTTGCTGCTGCTGGTATATTTTATAAAGTGGTTTAAAACTTCAGGAAACAACTCCGTTGTCATCCATCCAGATGGACTAGCAAGTCCAAGTGTTCCTGCTGGAGCTCCTGTAAGCATGTGTTGTTTAAAATTTTTTCTTGGGAACACAAGCACTGGAGGAATAAACGTACCTACTCCTGAAATAAATACGACAGCAGTTATTAGTTGCCCTCGTTCAGCACTAGTACATTTATTTAATTGTTTAACTCCTTTCTTGGCGACAACTGTCCTGTTTCGTCAAAATTATATATACTAGAACCATCCGATATTTGTTGTAGCCTTTCGTAGACCTTTTTCAAATTATCAAAAAACATGTTCATGCTGTGTTTATTAAATGAGGTTAGCCTCGATAGACTACACGCTTCAGGTTTTCTAATGCTTAAGTTGCCGTTACGATGTAAAAATCCTCTAAGCCAGTCTTTACCTGCACTTTTATACCTTTTCCAAGCATCAGGTATTTTTAACTTATTTATTAGCGCCATTTTGTATGCCAATATTCTCAACTCTTTTGTTGACAAACCATAAGCCATTGTATTACATTCTTCGAGATACTCAGCAAGTTCTTGTTTGTAGTAAAAATTTTACGAACTTCATAATGTGGTGTGGTTCTTATGTTACCCTCTGGATCTATTTTTGCCTTCTTAACGTACCTATGTAGCGTTTGAAATGCAATATTTGTTTCTTTTGCTGCTTCTCGAATAGACATTTTTTGTTCAATAACTAAATTAATAGCTGCAGCCATTTGCTCTGTTGACGTTTTCCCAATTTTTGGTTGCGTATCTTTTGGCCTTCCCATTTTCAGAGAAAACTGAAAAAAAAAATTGAAAACTTGTGAGACGTCCTATAACCCTATGGTACACAGTGAGACATCGTCTCACTGTGTAATAACTTGTAGTGTCTCAGTGTGTACATTTGCAGGTAAAAACTAAAATGGCTGCCAAATATTTAAACATAATATAAATCACCTTTAAACTATAAATACATTTGGTTTAAAACATTAGCTTTAAAGGTACTTACTCAATAAATTTTCAGAAGTATTTTCTGACACACCAAAAGGTCTATAAAGTCAACAAGTACGTAACTTTCATTGTAAAAAAAACGCTAGTTGATCACCTCACGATAACGACTGAACATCAACTAACAGGAGTAAGACGAAGTGACTGCGTATATAAAAATTAACTGACGGTGTTGTCAAACCTCGAAAATCTCAAACTGTCTTAAGAAAAAATGGAGGTGTCTCACTGTGTACGCCGTCTCACTGTAGTCTACCTTCCCCTATTTGTAAACAAAATTTGACTTTTACTATACCCTGTAATTTAAATGAATGTTTTATATTTTTATCTATATAGCTATCTTGCTCTTGTTCTGGGCATTTAATATTAATGTTACACACATCTATTGCCCCTATAACACTTATAAAAATAATTAAATAATAATAATTATTATTATTATTATTATTATTATTATAAACTAATGCACACAATTTACCAGGGAGACCAACCTTTGGCAAAATTCTTGTTTAATTTTTACTACCTCTTGTATATTCGGCCATAAAATAAACTTTTTTAAAATATTATTTATAAGCCCTAGAATTAAACTAGTACAACGGTAAACTGAAGATATTGTAACATAAAATTTATCTGAAACAGAAATGTGTCTTTCTTCTTTTCTTAACCACCATATCGTCATTAAAATACACTTTTTATGGGAATAGTTATTAAAGGTCCATTCCAGGAACATGTTTTTTTGATTTGCCTGTTTTAAAATTTTCTTGCTTATCAGGACTTTTTTATTGTCGATTTGTCTGAGTCTGTAAGAATCTCCTGCACCATAATTCTCTGACATAGCATGGATGGCAAAACCTTTGGAAGTTGATGGCATCAAAGACTGTTCATCAAACTCCTAACAGGAACATAAATATAACACAAATTAAAATCTACAAGCACATAAGTAATACAGTGAGGTAAAAAAAGATTGATCAGATTCCAATATTATATTCTCCTTTATTTTCTTTATCGTCTCATATATTTTCTCAAGTATTTAACTCCTAGTCATCATCATGTTCATTATGTAGACCCAAAATAGATTTTTGTTCATGATGCTGAGTGCCAGATATATTTGTATCTGTACAAGTTTTAGTCTTCCCAGTGCTAGTTTTTATTAAAGTGAGCCTTTCAGTAGCCATTTTTTTATATTACCATAATATTTTTTAAGAGGATGCATCTCTGTACACCCAATTTGTTCTGTTTCCATTAAACTTTGCAGTAATTATTCTTTAGGCTTCATCCCTTTCTCTCCATGTAACTGCATTAGTTTTCTCCGACTTTACGATGTCTTTAAATTCTTTTACTTTATTTAAGCAAACTTTTATTTAGTGTAGTATAATTCGGTGACCTGATCTTTTTTGTGTTTCCATTTTTAACAAGATTATGAGTATTATTTAATGAAATAATTCCTATATTAATTCCATATCATTTGGGCAATTAAAGCCTAAAAAGGAGCAAGTGTGTAGGTGAAAAATTGTATCATATTAACAAACAATAACGTGGTAGTGCTATTTGAAAAATTAATTTTAGGGCCGGTTTTTAAGGGAATTGAGCTACAACTTTCAGACCTCTGAGACTGCCATGATCTTTAAACTTATCTTCAAAATATTTATTATATACTAGTTTTTATAAATTTGTTTTTTTTTATTATTAAAAAAACTGACTGCGAATGGCCAATACCCAAAGATCAAATCAATTATTATTACGATCGGCTCTGGGAAAGCGATACAGCATATTTTAAACGAAAAATCACCACTCGAATTAAAAATAAACATCACAATCGTCAACAAGATAAAGTAAACAAAGTGAAAATTAAAAACACAACTGAACATAAACAGGACCAAGTTGGCAATACAATGAACAATTATTTTCAAAATAGTTTGTTGATTAACGACACTCGAAAATATAAACAATTAAAATGAAAAGTCAATAATCACTGACAATGACAAATGACATTCCATCTCAAATTGTATATTGTAAAGTTAGGTTTCTGTATATTGCGTGTACAGCGCCTCGAGTGGATATTGTTCGAAACCAAAAGCAGATTCAGTTCGGACTATCCGAGTTAAGGTCGATTCTCACAGAGCCGTGACAGTGCCGTGACCGGCACGTGATTTTACCGACCGTAAACTTTTATCAGTGCTGTGGAAGTGCAGTTTATAGCCAAATGGAAATATTTTCAGACGAAAAACTGTTGCAGATCGCACTTGTTTTGGACAAAGAAATGGAAGAACAAGTATAAGAACAAGACGACACTGGGTCCATCCAGCATGGAAAAAGAGAGGTACCGAAGGATAATTTATTTATTTAATTATACAAGGAACTAGTAGACGATGCAGCAACATTTTTTAAATACTTTAGGATATCAGAAAATTCGTTCAACCTATTGTTGTGCAAGATAGAAGTTCATTTGAAAAACCGTGACACATACTGGAGAAAAGCAATCACAGCAAGAGAAAGGCTAGATGTTTGTTTAAGGTAAGTATTTGTTTTCAGTCTGATGTAGATACCTTGATATTTATTAAAAACACCCAAAAAATAAAAACTATTTTATTAGAAAAATGTACAAATCGAAAAAAAAGTACTTAAATCTCAAACTCATTTTTGCCTGAATATATCTAAGGCAGGGTTTGGAAATACTCCCTCAATGTTAAGTGATCTGCTTCATTCTCCTTACTTTGACTAGTAGATGATTGTTGGCCATACCATGAAGAGGTTGATTGTTGGCCATCCCAAGGAGAAGGTTGTCCAGTCGAACACGTTTCATTAGGACCTGTGCAAGGAAATTGTTGTTGTCTGTTCAACATATTAAATTCGAATTTTTGGACAGTAGCAAATATTTCAGCTTTGGCGAAATGCCATTCTTGTGCGGATAATTTTTTTAAAGCTGGAGCTATCCCTGCTAAAAAAGCTTCAACAGGGTGCTGCGTTGGTGGTGGGCAGTTAATACTTTTATTTCGGTCAACAATATACTCCATAACTGTAGCAGCAGCCGTTTTGGGGGGAGCCGTAGGATTTGTTGGTATTGAAAGCTTTCTAGTTTTTCGTGGAATAGTACCTGTTGCTGTTGATATCATTTAACTTTGATTTTCTGATTGTGTAGTCATAGTATCGTTAACTTCTGAAACTGTATAGTCTTGATCTTGAGTATTTTGGTCATTTTCGGATACTTCTTCAGTTTCTGTTTCACCTGTGAAATCTTTGGTGTTTACTTCGGCATCAATGTTCGTCGTGGACTCCCTCTGCTCAAAGAATTTCTTCAAAAAGCTCAACTTCGCTGAATATTTGTAAGGCTTCACTTTTGTTGCTTTTTGGCCACTTTTAGTTTTTGGTTTATTCAAAGATTTTCTGAAGTTGTCCCTAATATTGGCCCACCGAGTTTTGCATACAGACCCTAAATAAGCAAAACAAAAACATAACAAAATAATCGAGTAAATTTTTTTATCTCTACTGTATTTTTTTCAGATATTTGTCCACTGGAGATGCACTGAACACAATTTCGTTCAGCTATCGTCTAGGACATAGTACAATTCACAAAATTGTACGAGAAACCTGCGAGATTATCACTACCCATCTAATGAACGAACTGATGCCTACTCCGACACAGGAAATGTGGATGAAAATCGCTACTGATTTTTATAAAATGTGAAATTTCCCTAACTGTATAGGAGCTATGGATGGCAAGCACATTGTTATTCAGGCTCCTCCTAACTCCGGATCAATGTTTTTTAATTATGCAAAAAACATTTTCCATAGTTTTGTTAGCCCTTGTAGATGTTCACTGTAATTTTATTGCTGTCGATGTAGGGGCATATGGAAAAGATAGTGATGGAGGAGTTTTTGCCAAATCAACGTTAGGAAAAGCACTTCACCAAGGAACTTTGAGTATGCCGCCAAGATCTACCATACCTAATACAGATATCCAGGTCCCATGCGTAATTGTAGATGACGAAGCATTACCTTTAAAAACGTACTAAATGCGAACATATCCAGCGGACAATCTTGATGATCGGAAGCGTAACTTCAACTATCGTTTATGTCGTATCAGGCGGACATCCGAAAACACATTTGGCATTTTAATTCAAAAATTTAGACTTTACAATAGAAGAATTCAGGCCTTTCCAAAATATGTAGATAACATAATTTTGAGCACTTGCTTGCTGCACAATTTTATTAAAAAATACGACTGTCAGACGTATAATTACGTTACTTCGCAAATGGATCTGAGAAGCGAGAATCGCACATTACAAAATTTACATTTGCAAGGAAGAAATGCAACGACAGATGCATTTCGCGTACGAGAAACATTAACTGACTTTTTCAATTCTGATGCTGGATCTCTCCCATGGTTACCAAATAGCCAACAAACATAAAAATAATCTAAGTTTAGTTATCATCATTATTATATCCTATTGTTATTGGTAATAAAAGTTAACTAAAATACAGATTGTCTGTTCAAAGAATGAACATGTGACCTCAAAAAAATGCAGGCAAAATAAATATCTTGAATTGCATAGTGACGACTCGTGTTCATTCTGTGCCCAGACCAATAGTTTTACTCACATTCTGTTTTCATTTCTGCTCCTACTTTACTCCAGATAGCATTCTTGAAATCAGAGTCCATGTATTTTGTGTTGCACAGGTCATACAAAACGGGATAACCGCGGACTAACTCAATAAGTTTCTCGTCATTCATGGTTGAATACACAAAATACACAATTTGTACGGCCGTGAAAATCTAAAAATATCGTCAGGAACTATATTATCGATCACGTTACGGTGACAGCACTGTTTGCACTGTCACGGTCGCGCGTCGGGCAGATGCGAATAGGTACCTTCAAATTCCTAAGAGAATAATTTTGACTTTGCCGGTGAAATCACGTGCCGGTTACGGCACTGTCACGTCACTGCTATGTGTGAATCGACCTTTACCGATACCTGACGGTTAAATCGTGAAAGAGAGAAGATCGGTTGTTACTGACTTGCGTTGACGATACAAAAAGTGATTGAATATAGGCGGTTACTACTGATTACGTTTATAGGTCTTTCTTTACTAAAACTGTTGTAAAAATCTTGAAATTTTGAAGCTGTCATAGTTCTAAATGGCTCTGTTTTTGCAATGCAGTATTGAACTTGCTCTTCAGGTACAGTTTTACGAATTATGTTTTAGAATGTATGTAAATTTAAACTATTATAATGTTAACATCTCGTACCCTGCATCATGTGAAATCGCACGGCTATGTGAGTCAATCGAAGAAAATCCATTTGTCAACTAGGTCAGATATCTGAGTGATGAATCAACTAAAATTCAGGCAAAAGGTGATAAGATATGATTTAGTTACAAGTGATAGTAATTTGAGTTTCGGCTTGAGAATAAAACATATATATATATATATATATATATATATATATATATATATATATATATATCTAGCTACGTGGCATTACTGGGACTCCATTCCATAAATGGCCTACCAAAACTCCACCGTATATACGCCATTATATACACCGTTATTTGTAAAGACTAATTCAACTACCATTAGTTGGATAGGTCAACGTAACGTCCACTATATACATTTGACATATGTTTTGACACTGTTTATGTTAATGCGCCTCCTCTTACTAGAGATAATGTATTTACTGAGGCTCCAAGCACTGTTGCCACTTTTTAATAATTTATTTAGCAGAAGGAAGAAAAACCTAATTACTCAGACCATATGTTTTTATTTAAAATAATAATAACCCGTTGAAGATAAACCTTCTTAGCGAGTAGTATGCGAATTCGTCGTTTCTGCCGGCAAACCAATTGCAATAGTTTTATTCTTTTTAAGTCTTCTCAAGTTTTGTGTGTATATATTATAATGACTTTTTTGCTCAATACTAGTTTAAAATTAAAATTTTTGTTTTCATAAATGTAATAATGGTGTTTACAAAAAGACAAAAAATTAAATAATGTTGTTACAGATACCTCTCAGAAATTTTTTGCCGATATTATTATTACATATAAGGTTTTAAAAGATCTGGCTAAACAATGACCGATATTGTTTTAACAACAATTGAAGAACATTTAAAAGAAGTAAATTATAAAATCACATCAATGAATAATATATCAGTACGCTTTAAAGAAAATAAAAATCTACATGATAAATTTGATGAACAAGAACAAAAATATAGATTGAAACATTTACGTCTACATAAATTACCAGAAGGTACTAAAAATAATTTATAAAATAAAATATCTGATGGTTTTAGGTTTTAAACAATGCAGAACTTTTTATGAAGAATAACTTTTTCTCGTTAATTTAATAATAAAAAAGTTTTTAATATACTGCGTACTTAAGTGGACTCACTGTATATTTAAAACTGGTTAAAAAATTATAGAAATCTGTTAATAGTTTCTTACTACATAATATAAATTTTTAAACGAATTCAAAAAAAAATCCTTAAAGCTTACTGATGAGTAAACATTCTCATTATATATCCATACGGTACGACTGGGCCCACCTTGTTAATTTTTAGGCTCACTAAGACTCTGCTGTAGAGTCCATATATTATTAACAGCGGAGTCTCAGTGAACCTAAAAATTAACACGGCTGGAGGCCCAGTCGCACTTTATAAATATAGCGAGATATAGTTTAGGTATATATATATTAGGACGTATATAGTACCTTAATATATAAAGAACTACAGTTCCATTAAAAAATATTTATTTATAAAAAATTCATGAAAAAATAAAAACAAACACTTAAATAAACATGTCATATTTGCACTAAAAAAAAGCCATAAAAAGAAAACTAAAAATTCAAACTCCTATGTAGCAAATATTCAACACTTTTTTGCGTACCTATTACACACTTTTATATTCTCCCATTTCCTATATTTAAAAATCTGATGTGTCCAACACATGACTTTCCTATCTAGTTATTATATGCTTTTCCGGTTATTTTGTACAACCTATTGCAGCACTTCTATAAATGTTTAGAGGAGGATAAACCAAATATATACATTGTCCACATATATCTACCTCGAAACATTTTTCTATAGATATTCATTGAAAACGAAAATACTGAAAAATTTAAATTTAGCACGTTTCCATTACGGTCCATTTCAGAAAAATCATGTATAAACAAAAATTATAGAGATCGATATCGCAAACAACTTTTAGTTCAACAATTTTCATAAAAATCAGAATTTTGCACATTTTGTCAAATTTCTCGAATACGGACCATTTCAGGAAAATTTGACATATAACAAAAATTATAGATAATAATATTAGAAGTAACTTTTATTTGAACAATTTTCTCCTCCAAACATAAATAACAGATATATTCCATAAAATATAAAAACGGCCTCCCATAAAGTTACCCCCCCGGATGATTCGACTTTGTCCAAAATCTAATCATTTCACGTCAGGCCCAAATAAACCTTAAGTTTAAAATTTTATGTTTTTTTCTTTATCAGTTTTTGAGTTTTCTTCAAAATTCGAAATTTACACATTTTCTCAAATATCTCGAATACGGTCCATTTTAGAGAAATTATGTATAGAATAAAAATTATAGAGAATTATATTACAAACAACTTTTATTTAAACAATTTTTATAAAAAATTATTTTTTTTACATTTTGTCAAATTTCTCGAATACGGACCATTTTAGGAAAATTTTGCATAGAACAAAAATTGTAGATAATTATTTGAAGAATTTTCTTCTCCAAACGTAAATAACAGATATATTCCATAAAATATAAAAATGACCACCTATAAAGTATCCCCCCAGATGTTCCGACTCTGCTCAAAATCTAATCAGCTCATTGGACGCTAAAACAAAGTTTAAGTTTAAAATTTGGTGTTTTTCGTTGTATCGGTTCATGAGTTATACAGACACACAGACACACACGCACACCCACACGCACACCCACACGCGCACACGCACACGCACGCGCGCACACACACACAGACATCATCGCAAAAATAGTCAAAACGGATTCAGGGGACCTCAAAACGTAAAAATCCGTCGAAAACTCGAGGTCAAAAAAAATCATGATTCCTCTACTTTCCTTATATCTGTATACAGATAGGA